CCAGCTTTGAAGATGGGTACAATTATAGAAGACTTCCAGAAACCAGGCAAAACAGCCCTCATGACTCATGAGTCAGGCACGTAACCAGGATTTTGTTTCGGGGGGGGGGGGGGGGGGGGGGCTGTTCATGACAAAATGCTGTATGAGGAGGAGGGGGGAGAGGAGGTCCCAGCAAAATGGAAGATTGCGGGGGGGGGGGGGGGGGGGGCAGGCCCCATGGGCCTCCCCCCTGGCTACGTGCCTGTCATGAGTGATAGGTTAAATATATGTTTCAAAACGGGAGAAAATAAACTCGGAGCACGATTTAATAATAAAATCGGGTATACCGTCGATCGGCGTAGAGAACTTAGGTTTCAATGTTCTAATAGCTCCGAGAACCTCTGTGACGTCGTCAGTAAAAGCAGATAAGAAGTCCGTGCTTTCGTTAAAGCTGTTTGTTGTACCAGTAATGCTCGAACTAGAATAGCAGCAACTAAAGTAACCAGAAAAACGATGTGCTATGCCATTTGGCGAGGACAGAAAGCTAGACGATTCTCGTAAGCACAAATTGTGTGCATTGTCGCGAATGTGGTTTTTAGCATAGCGGCAGAACGTCCGAGATTTCTTTAGTTAAACTTTTTTGAACATTCGATGAGTGCCTAAAGCACGAAAAACACTCAATTTAACGTACCAGACGTTCAGTCCAGTTTTCTTATACATTCGCTTATAGTGCGACTTAATATGAAGCAGGCGCTTTAGCTCTCTCGAAAACCAGCTATAGGATAGTTAGATTTTCGTGCTTGTTGTTTCGGAATAAAATCCCTCATTGCATTAGGTACCACCAAAGTCAACTTAGTAGTCGGCGAATCAGCGTTTTAGTCTGATAATACGTCAGACCAGTTGAAATGAGCAAGGCAATTGTGAAACCCGTTGTAGCCTCCCTTGCGATAACAGAACGCAGAAAACTGATGGCTGGCACGGGGCCTACATGACAGGCATAACTGCACTACAAAAGGCAAAAGGAGGCTGATATACGTCAACACGCCAACGGTATGACAGCCGCAACAATAGACTCTATGGGAGCATTTGACGGACTAACTTTAGCGAAATTTTTAACCTCATGTGAACTGTGGAGACGGTATTTGTAACTCCAGACAAATGTGAAAGCTTTCAGCTGTCCCGTCCACTTCAATGCCGCGAAAATGGCCGTTTAGCGCAGCACAGACTACTGCGAACAATCAAAGGTGATTGCTCTGTTACCGGAGAATT